ACCGTGAAGTGCTCGTCTTCGCGTGCAGGTCGTCGGGCTACCGAAGCGAAGGTGCCATCCCTTCTGCAGAAGATCAAAATTGTGATGGCATGTCTTCGCATCATCCTCAGGGATGTTTCCCAGACCGTCACCAATAGCCCATCGTGCAGCTCTAGAGCGACGTAAATTAACAACAACTACAACAAAAGGTATTATTCTTATCACTTAATTAACTTTGAAATAAATAAAAAAAATTATTATGATTAACACTGATTCAAATCATTTAAATATCATCCCAGATTTAAATCAAAATAAAAAAAAATACAATTTTATTTTATTTTTAACCGACGTTGAACCTACTCAATTCTGAATATATGAATATCAATGCTCAACCCCAAGTGGATCACCGTCCGTAGACTTCTTATTCTGTTTTGATGGAACTTTGCATTACGTGAAGAAAAAAACCACGAAAACCTTTTAGGATTAGCTTGACAGAAAGGGGATTCTAACCCATGATCCGTTTTAATGATCTGGTTTAAGTCAGGAGCAGAATTCGTGTCACGAACCTGGGTCACCTCATTGGGAAGCGAACGCTCTGTTTTGAAACAATCAAATTGGATTTATTTTAATCACGGTATTAAATTCAAGCGATTCAACCAAACGATTGAAATTAATTATTTATAATCAACAAAATCATATAACCAATTTAAACGAAAGGAATTATAAACTGATAGTCATCAGTTTATTCCAATAATTGAACAGAATTACTCATTCAAATCAGTGCAAAAAAGGAATAAACAAATTTATTTTTAAACCATAGAATTTATGATTAAAATGTGTTAATTTCTGAATTGAATTCGATAGATTGGAATTCATGGATTAAAATCAATTAAACAAATCATAGATTAATAAATATCAATCTACATAATTTCATCTCTCAAATTGAATTCTTGGATTAAAATCAATCAGATCAAATGAATTCATCGATCAAAATCATTTAAATTAATCATAAATTTAAAATCAATATATTTGAATTCATAGATTAAAAGCAATAGATTGGGTTTCATTGATTAAATTCAATTAAACAAATCATAGATTAATAAAAATCAATCTACATAATTTCATGGATTCAAAATCTCTCAAATTGAATTCTTAGATTAATCATAAATTTAATCATAAATATAATAAATTAATCATAAATTTAAAATCAATATATTTGAATTCATAGATTAAAATCAATAGATTGGATTTCATTGATTAAATTCAATTGATCCAAATCATTTTTAAAATGGTAATTCGAATCAGTATCACCCATTCAATATCCTATTCGAGGGTATTCGAATACTTTTAAGTTGGCTACTAAACGAAATTCCTGGTCGTTCTATTACCTGGTTACACCGAAAACAACTTTATTTACTAAGTGATCCTCTCAAGAGGACAAGGAATTGTTATCGACTGTTTAAATCTTCTTTACGAGGAAAAAAGACGTCTGTTTTGACTGCCCGCATGAAACACCCAGACACTTATAATTGATCGTAAATTTGCGAAATGGCCTCCTCATGTCGTAGGCACGCTCTTCTCACATCCCTCATTCTACACAAAATCCCTACCACTTTTCCCTACGACCTGCTTTTTTTTCCCCTTCTCTTTCCTAAATCTCGCCATTTATTTATCGACGTCACGCTGATTGGTTGAGCTATGAGAAGTGTTTATTTTGAATGCCTGTCACCTCTTAATTTTTCAAACATAGACTAGTTTATTTAAATTGTTTATGTTTATATATTTAATGAATTGTTTAAGTAAATGAATTGCTTATAAAGTAAATGAATTGTTTATAAAGCGGTATTTATAAATTTAAATTTTTTTTTTATCAAAATGAAATAATGATCAATATTATAAGAAGTTTGAAAAAAACAAACATTTTCTTTAGATAAAACTAGAAGAGATTTACAAATTAGGAAATAAAATTAATTTTACAGATTAGTTTATCTAATAATGAAATATTATTAGATGAATATAATGAAATATTATATTACTAATGTGAAATATTTACAACTTATTGCATATGAGTTTAGAATCATTATTTAGACGTAATTTGGCGGGATATCGTTAGAGAGAAATTCACGTGAAGATAATATTTTGGATGAAACTCGAAAAAGAAAAAAATATCGTGTGACAAAATCTCTTACGACTTTTTCCTATCGATCAGAATCTCCATTCCAGTGGAATAGTTTTTTTTCCTAGCTAGCCGAAAGTGGTCAGAATTTTGACTGAGAATAAATTCTACTGGGTGATAAAATAATGATAAATTCTGCTTGTAACGGTCAGAAAACGATTGACGCTTGTAGTGCCATTCAGCAAAGAGCTCCAGTTAAAATTTGAATATCCCAGCTAGTCAAAAAGCTATCAGAATTTTGATGAATGATAGACTCTATAGGGTTATAAAATGATAATTAATTCTTCTGAGGGAGCTGTGGCTCAGGGTTTAGAGCAATCGCCTCCCATTGAGGGGATCCCTTCGTGGTTTAGGAAAGATTGCATCAAGCTTCCAAACCCTGGCACCCGCGCTTTCGAGTCAACATAAAAACGCGAGCAATTCAAGTTAAATAAATAACTTTAAAAAAAATAATAAACAAATAAATAACAATAATTCAAACATTATTTTTTTCAATTAAAACTACCTGAAAAATCAAATTTTTTTAACAAATTTGAAGCCAAAAAAACGTTAAGTATTAAATTACTTTTCCAAAAACAACAGATATTTTAAATATTTCTGATGTTTTCATTTTTAAAATAAAAATATCTTGTCTTACTCAAAGTTCCTTAGTTTTCTCATCGATATTTTATATGAACTGAAAATTCAGAGATAATTAAAAACAAAATTTTAGACTATAAACAAGACAATTTAAGTGTAGACTGTAGAGTAACATTCAATTATTTTATTTGTCTTATTTATTTATTTTTCTGTAATATCACCTAATACTAGAGAAATTGGGCTGAACTCATATTCGTCAGAACGAGAGTTCGAATCCAGCCGGCCAAAAACTCTCCATGTCGTAAATGGTGACTGGTGCACGTTAAATTTGCCGGTCACAAAGTCCTCCAGGTTCCCATAACAAATTTTGGAGATTCATCGTTCTCTGGTTCAAGTCAAAATTACAAATGAATGAATACGGATTAAAGAATTTATGGATGAATGGGCATGACCTATAAATGGGTGTGATGTATTGATGTGGCAGACGTATTGAACTTGGCCATAGATGGCGCCACTGGAGAACAAGAGCAATCGCACCCGTTGCCATAATGGCCTAAGACGGCAACAACAACTAGAGAAAATGATTTTATCCTCTTCAATTTTGAGCACAACCATATTGCAGTAGCAATGATCAATGCCTATTTGGTACAAACACCGTTCGAAGCGGGCAGTTTTTTTGTTTCTCAACATCTGTTTACGGTTTCTTTCAAGTTACAGTTACAGGCTTCCTTACACAATCATAGGACTGTGATTGTTTTTATTTTTTTCTTTTACAATGCGGAGACTGAAAGGTTTAGAATCAAAACCAATTTTGTCTGCTTTGCACTTTTTACTTTTAAAATTTAACTTTTTCATGGCTACGGTATGATATTTTCTGAAACCTTACCAAAGATATTTACTGAAAACTTGCAAAAAAACTATTAATTTAAAAAAGCTTCTCCAGTAAATGATGTCTTTCGATTGAAAATTTCACCCAGTAAGTGACGTCCTATGAGAATTCCAAAAACTTATCAAATGAGTTCGGCTCTTGAATATGGAAAAAAAAGGGCCATTCAAATATTATGTAAGCACCTGACGGCGATGAGGGATTTTATTATTTCTATAAAAGGGAATAAAGAGACGTGGTGGATCAGGAGATAGATCCCTCACCTCCCTATGTGGTGAACCAGATTCGATCCCAGCGATAGCTGGTCTATTCGAATTCCGCACAAGCTCGCATCGACCACAGTGCTGACGTAAAATATTTTCAGTGATAGACGGATCATGGGTTAGGGTCCCCTTGCTGTCAGACTAACTGTGGGAGGTTTTCGTAGTTTTCCTCTCCGTGTAACGCAAATGCAGGTTTGTTCCTTCTAAAAGTCCTCCATGAAGGCACATTTCTCCCAATAATTGATCCAGGAGTTAACTTGTCTTCTGGATTGAATTCAAAATTACAAGGCCACGGAGTTGAACATTAGTAGCCGTACACCCTAAATGGGGTCTGCTGTTCTATAACGGTTATAAAATAAAATGAAGGGGAAGGAGGGTTATGAGCTTTGCTTACATAAGACATTAAAATCCTTTTGTTTCCAACATTTTCAAAGGAATAGTAAGAAATTTAATCACAAATATCATATGTAGAAAGAAAATTGAAATTTGGAATAAAAATAAATTCGAGGAAAGAAAAATTTTGGAAATTTTTTTTTCCATACAGATTTTAAAGGTCAAGAGTTTTGAACTCAAAAGGAAGACACAAAAATCATTCTCCTCAAAATTTGACAAAATGAATTAAAACGTAACATTTCATAACATATTGTTTTGTGTAAAATTGCATCTTTTATTTGAATTTAAATCTAAAGTTTGAATGCTGCAATTAACATCAGATTAAAGCAAAAACAAAGGGGATGTCGTGAATTTCTTATGCAAGTATGGGAGGGAATTTGTGATTTTCTTACGAAGAAAAAGGAGTTCAAAATTACCACAAATATGCTCAAGTAAATATTTAAATGGCCAGGCCGAAAAACTGCTATAAAACAACCATGATTACAAATTTTTTATACAAAAATTAAAGTCTTTAGAGTGAGAACAAGGGGTTACACATCCTCTCATAAGAAAAGTGAATGCACTTTCTCCTGGAAGAATAATTCAATTTCATCAAAAAATAAATCAAATGAATCAAAGTCAATTCGATTATATCCCCACAGAGTACTTTGACATTCTTTTCCAAAGAATCACTGCCGCTACCCAGTCACAAAAACAATAAAAAATATACCAAAGTATCACTTACCTTTTAACAGTAGCTATTCTAATATCCTTTATGAGATAAAATAGTAATAAATATCCAATAAAATATCCGATAGTCATAAATATCCGAGATTTTGCTAAGAACACTCACATAAAATAAATACAACCATTCTCGACTGCTGACTAGACCATAAATAAAAACGTTTTCAAATGGTCAAGATTCAAGAAGCACTGAATTTTCTCAGAACTTTTTCAGTGTCCGTGCAAAATCATCACGAGAAGGGGGGGTCAAATTGTGGTGCCTTTCTTCTGTACAGCCCCATAAGCGGGTGATTAGCTAACTTTGCGGTTTACGAAATGCGGAAATAGCCGCGGGTCAAGAGGGTTCTAACATCCAAACAAGGACAAATTTATCCGAAGGGTGTAAACCAGTCCTTTGCGACAGTCCGTGTCTAATTTTCCAGATACTTGGAGGGAACAACCTGTTCTTCTTTTACATTTCACTGAAATTTGTCTAGTCGATAATTAGCCAACACAGAAGTAGAGAACAATCGTCTAACTTTATTTTTAAAAAGCTATTTTCAGATCACAGTTTATTTATACCCTATAACAATTCATTTGGTTAAAGCTTGATGTCATATTAAAATTTATTGTAATAGATTAGTTTTCATGTCTAACGTTAATAAGGGTTTAAATAAAGGCATTTAATTGAGGTAGGTATTTAATTTTAATTGAATTATAAAATAGATAAAACATCTATTTTACACTTAGTAATAACTGAAAAAGAACATCAAGAAGTAAAACGACATAGCTCCCGGGATTTGAATTTTAAGGAACATTGAAATTGATTTAACTATTCAAAATACAAACTCTATGCGTATTATAGTACTAATTACACAAAATTTTATATTTTAACATTAAAATTTATCTTTCCTTGTAATTAAAAAAAGAAAAGAATGAAAAACCATCGATGCGTAATACTTTTTCTGCATTAAGAAAAATACTTCAAAAACTAGCTGCGTTTTTTGGTTTTTAAGTTAAATGAAAATATAAGGCTTAATTGAAGGGCTTAGGCGAATTAAATGATATGCCACGCTTTCAAATTGTCCAAAAGATAGTTTTTTTTTAGGGGGAGGGGAACTCTGTGGTTTACATGTAGGTAATAAAATGTTTCTATTTATTTTGCTGCTATCTAATGAAAATTCCGGTAACCTTATAAAGCACCTTATCTGGTAACCTTGATCATTACAGTTTTTTGAGAATGGTTCTCCGAGTTCGCTAGCATATTCCTTTTTGTAACAGTACGATTTTTTTTTATCCTATTCCTATTGCTATTGTTTAAAATAAATTTAAATGTAAATATGGATATTGCATTAATGCAAGTATCAAAAAGAATTAAAAACTGAAGTCAAAACAATATTAGAACAATAATATTAAAAACAGAATTAGATTCAGTAAAATTAAGAAAATTACTAGTCAGACAAATAATCAAAGATTCGGAGGAAATAGTTAGAATGAATCCTGCAAAGGAAACGAATTCTATTACCGGATCATAGTGGCTAACACATTATAACAAATTTTAAATCGGAAAAATTTGAAATATATCTAATAATACTTTAAAAATTTAATTAACTATATTTTAAATGAAATAGCAAAAATCAGCTTTATGATGAATTAAAAAGACATTGCAGAACGTCATTAAACCCTTTTATGTCCAAATGCGACCATTACATGTTCCTTATCCTTTAAAATGTAAAAGTCCTTTGCTAAGCAACCACGAGGAAGACTTTGATATCAACGGGGAAAGTCAAAAAATTCAATTTCCTTCCATTTTAGAGGAAGGAATTTGATAAAATTTTCGATGAAGAGTAGTTATCGTGGTAAAATTAAAATTGAATACCACAGAGTTCTTCTTTGTGAAATCTTCATCCATAAAATGATTAAAAAAAAAGAGAAAAATTCAACTTTTAATTCTTTTATTTTAACTCTAAAATGGACATAACAATGATTTATTTTTTCAGTTATTAAATAATTTTACAAAATTGCCTATTCCAGAACATATAGACACATATAATTTAACTAGATTATACAACACTCTTAGCCATATAAGGTTCCTTTAAATTTCTGCTGATAATCCTGTTTTAAAATTGATATTAAATCCGTCTTGGAAGGATCCACAATGAAATAGTTGTCACTGCAAAAATAAAAAAGATATAATAAAACATTCGAATTTAAATCATGTGTAAAAAAAAAACAATTTAAATGACATTTATTTTTAAATTTGAAATATATTTTGAAGTTCATAACTTAGTGTTTGAACAAGTTAAAGAAATTAGAAAACAAAATTGTTTCTGGTATTACCAGTTGCTCGTTAATTAGGTTTTAGATATATAGTCATATGAATTTCAATAATAACCTATCTGTGCAGGGGTCAGGGAACTGACTTTGCATCAGAAAGGTACTGGAATCGAACAAGGCATGGATGTTCTTTCATTCTCTGTTCTATCTGTCCCTACTGGAGCAACGTTGGCCCACCAAATATGGCGCCCCCTGACTGAAAGAGTGGTCAACAAATCTGCCCTTCAGATGCCTGTATTGACGAAATGTCATTCCCCAGGTGGGCATTGGAAGAAAAAAGTTTCAATAATAACAAATCCATTTAAAAAAATTATATTTTAAAAGCACTAACACGTTTTTCTTAAGAATATTTTTTAGTGCCCATTGGAATTGAATTACTTTTTTTAATTTTTTTTAAACCAAAAATTTTAACTAGAAGAAGTGTGTGATTTGAAAAAAATTCAGTTAAATCCGTGTATTATTTTTTGAGGAATCATGCCACCATGAGATACTTTTTTCTATCTCTGTAATCTAATTGTTAAGAATAGTAAATGATTTTCAAGTGTCATAGTGTCAATTACCTAAAGTCAAATTTAGATGCATGTCACATGAGAATTAATTAATGTTTAATTTTTTTTATCGAAATAAGCATTTTAAATTAGAGCTATAATAAAAATCTTAGTACCAAATTGCGTAAAAATACATTTATTTAAGCACACAAAAGCCACAATCTAAGTTATAAGCTTTAGAAGAAATTCAAATATCTTATTCTCATGCAAGAAACTGCATGAGAATATGTATGCCCAACAAAATAATATAGTTCGGAGCTGTATAATTGTTCAGGACAATGCTTTTGGTTTGAAACTCCAGCATTTCTGCAAAGGTAATGTGTTCCATTTCTGTAAAGATAATGTGTTCCACTTCTGTAAAGGTAATGTGTTCATCTAGTGAAAAAGAAGTTGTCTAGTAGTCGTACTGCCATCTAGCGGTGGTAAAATAACTATCTGGAGATATTAAGTGAAACAGTTTGATACGAAAAATAGCTTACTATAATATTTCCTCAAGCACTTCAATTTCTTAAAACCACTCTTTGTTATATTTAAGTTTTCTATCCTTTTATCTTGCAGATGCAAAACCACGCAAGCTTCTAGTCAGTGTTCAAACGTGTTCTCTCTGTGATGTGACCTCAAATTCTGTGAAGTGCAAAAAATCCAAAAGTATTGTACCAGTATTAATCATAACTTAAGTTTTAATGAAACTCGAAGACTCATCACATTGTAGCATGACATCTTACTACAACGCTCCTGGACCATACCTTACAGACATCCGCAATGGTGGAAATGACCAACAACAACATTATAATCCGCCATCAATTCAGAATGGGGACTCGTGTGACCAACGTCAGTACATGCAGCCTCAGTACGCTTCTTCGCCAGTACAAGGGGCGACTTACCCCCGGTTTCCACCTTACGACAGACTGGAAATACGACCTATCACAGCACATTCCGACGATTCCCAAAGCCCACCAGGACACTATTACACCCAGTGCAGTCAATCTCAGGGCAACATGCCCCAACCGGCACATCAGACACCACAACACACACCTTTAACACATCCTAACGCCTATGTACCACAGGATGGTGTACAACAGAACTGTAGGGGTTCCCCGACGGAAGCCCAAAGTATGGTACCACAGCAGTTTTCCAGTTGCAAACTTCAACAGCAACCGAATCAGCAGGTAATGATGCAGGATCCCAACGGAGTACATCGGCCTGTGAATCCGGATTGTGCTGCCAACAATATGCATCCGCAACACTGTCAAAGTCCTGTACATTCCCCGCAACAAATGTACCCACCGAATCACGTACAACAACAGCCTCCCAATCCACAGAACGTCAACCAAGTTCAACCAGCTAGTGGTGGACCTAGTCCTTTGTATCCATGGATGCGGAGTCAGTTTGGTGAGTAAATTGTCTTTTAAGATCTTTCAAATATCTTGTATTGGTTAAATAATTTTACAAGTTAATAGCTTGTTTCGTAATATTCGTTTCGTTCGTTCCTGGCCCTAAATTAGGCAAGCGTTGAAATGTTTCCGCAATTTAGGGCCAGAAAACTGTTACTTTCCGCACTTTAGTTTCAATGTAAACTGAGTTTCTTTAGTTTTGCTAATCAGTACTTAAACGTTCCTGCATCTTTACAGAATTAAGGTACAGAAGTAGCATGGGTGGAATTGTGAAAGATTTAATCATAGAAATTCTTGCCAATTTCAACAACTTGATTGGACATAGGGTTATCATCTAGTTCGGTATTAGAATTAAATAGACACTGCCAGGTAACTCAATGTTTGTGTTCTGCTTATAAGTTCGGTTAACAGTTAACTTTTCTACGTCACACGTACACAATAAACAAACGTGTTGTTTTTTCGGGCGTTGCTTTGCACGTTATAGGCAGAAAATCATCACCAAGTCAAAGTCAGCCACATAACGACGATACTTGACAGCCAAGGATTGTTCTGTTATCATATCTTGATGAATTTTGCTCAAATTTATGATATCTTGAAGCAAAACTCCATGCAAGACTATAGAGCAAATTTTATGTTCTCAGGGCAAAGAAGAGGTAGATTGTAAAATCTAGAAGAAAAAGTTACGCTGAAATTTCTTTTAATTACATTTCTTTTTATATTTAATCATTATAGCGGGCTTCATCTCGTATATTCATCTAAATTTTGAAAGTTAAACTTTGTATCCATTATAAATAAAAAATAAATAAATAAAAAACCTAAAGCAATTGTCGAAAATCCCTTTGATCAATTTTCTCTTGAATATGATGAAAAAAATCTCCTAATTCCTTTTTTATTTTCTTTTTTAATTTTAATGGCTTACTTTTTTTTAGTATTTATAAAATAGAAGTATATAAAAAAAAAGAAGTTTTTTAAAAAAAATGATGACAAAAAGCAAAATTAAAATTTATTTGTTCTTCTTGACACCAAAATTTTCACTTTTTACACGTGGTTATCTTTTCTGCGCATGGTTTCTTTGTCGTATAGAAGACTAATGTGTTTAAATCTCATCTAAATGATGAAATAATAAATGTAAAAAATAGATGCAAATCTATATCCAAAATATATCAATGTGGGGCGATTGATTTAACGGTTTAGTCAGGTGCAATAATTGAATAAGCCGCGCTTTTTCCAAAAGTAATATTTTTATATCAAACAGGTATTCAGAATTGTTTCCAGAACAGGTATTCAGAATTGTTGCTTATTAAAAAAAGTCACTCAAATATCATGTAAAGTATGATTATGCAATGCATTTTTAATCTTCTTATATTAAAAATTTTAACAAAACTACTTTGTAAAATTGAAGAGGAAGAATTCATATTTGGGGGAAAGGTGAAAAGTGTGATTATATCGCGCGCACGTCTGAAACACTACCCTCCTTTAATGGTCATATCAAAAGGGTCACTTCATACGATCCTGGTTATGATAAGGATTACATGAGTAGTCATTACAATTTTTTCTAGATTCTGATATGCGGCGATTAAATAGAGTTTTTGAATTAATTATAAAACAGAAGGTTTTCAACTAAGCTTTCACCGCTTCTTGATTTTTTCTTCTTCTTATAAGTTTAATGATTGGAAGCATTTCATTTTCCTTACCAATTCTATTTCCTTTCTCACTTGGTGCGAATTTCCGTTCAAATGTTGGTCTAATCACTCTTCATCGAACTCAACGAGATGGTCAGAGAGAGGTGCATTTTTTGGCCGAATGTTTCGATTGACAAACCCCTCATAAGTCGTCTTTTCGGCTATGGCATCATCTCCATATACAACACTAATATCACGAGCAACTTTTGCTGCATCTGAACCTTATTTAAAAACAAAGAGAAGAATGTCGAAATGCTTCTTTTTTCTCAACATTCCATTAAGAAAAAAAGTGGTTACTAAGTTACCTATCCCATAAAAAATCAAATTTTAATTTCAAGATAACTTTAAAATAAGGGAACTTGTGAAACTTAGTTCAAAATCAGTCAACTTTCACAGTTTTCAGTCGGAACTCGAGTGATGAGCTTCAATTTCATATTCAAAACGGATCTCGATTAATTTTGATTTGGATAGAGTCCAGAATGGAAAATTCTTCACTAAACAGTGGGCGGAATCAGGAAAACGGTATTTTGATTCAGAATATTAATGAGGGAAGAGTTATGGACATCTGGCCCTGATATTTAGTTCGAATATTTAAATTATATATATATATTTANATAGATATATAGATATATAGATAGATAGATAGATAGATAGATAAATTAAATACCATTGTATTTTTAATTTTTTTAAAATTTGTTTTACAAAAATGATATTTTTTTATTTATTTAATGACATTTATAGATAAATATCCTAAAAATTCGAGCAAAATTATTTTCCATCCAATATTAAATCATCCCCGCGAATGAAGACGAAACCAAAAACCTGTTTCCTCTTCCGTTATATTCCCTACTCGCTGGGAAAGATTTAATTTCTTTTATACATTCCGTGCTGCCCTCTAGTACATACTATTAGAAAAAAAAAGAGTTCGCTTATTATTAGCATAATTTATATGCTAATAATAAGCGTTTCTTTCATCTACAAAAAAGATACAAATACAAAAAATATCATTGTTTGAATAGTGGCAAAAGAAATAAGTATGATTTTGCTTCGATAAGTAATAGATATTATAAAATATAATCAATCATAAAATGCAATAAATTATAAAACACAATAAATAAATAAATTATCAATAGAACATTATTTTCTGCATTTGTTTTCCAGTAAAATTATAATTCTTTCTTCGATTGTCCCTAGACTATATCTTCTCTAATATTTATTAATATAGAATAGGAAGCATATTTGTAAACTTTTAATGATTAGTAGCTAAATTCAAACAGCTGTACTATTTACAATTTTCTTAAACATTTCAAATTAATACTAATATATTGGTATAATAGTTGTAATATGGGTATATTAGTAGAAATAATACCCGCATGTTTTGCATATAAAATTGGAAAAGATTTTACCAATTTTTAATGCAAAAATGCAAAGCATTTTTTAACTCACAGCTATTACTTTTTTTTAATTAGATTTTGCCAATTTTAATACGAAAAGAAATTAGAACTTCAATGAAAAGATTGTGACACTTTTTAATACAAAACATTATTTTAAATAAAATGCAATTTTTTTTTCGTTAGTTATATTTTTTAAATTTGAATACAATAGTTAATGTAAATTCAGATGACAGGATTTTCTTAATTTTTAATAAAAAATATAAAACATTATTGTGAATACCCAACTTTTAATTTTTCTTTTAGACAGATTTCGTTAATTTGAATACGAATTAATTCTATAATAAGATTAATTATATAATAAGATTAATTATATAAGATTTTATTAAATTTTAATACTAAAAGAAAAAAAAATATTACAAAACAACAACTATTCATATTTCTTTATGTAGATTATATTAATTTGATTGTGAAAGTTAATTGGAATTCGACTTAAAAGATTTTGTTCTTTAATGCAAAAATGTAACTCTTTAATACAATAATATATTACTTTAAACATGCAACTGCGGGGTTTTTTTTTTTTTTTTTAGTTACATAGTGTTAATTTAAATACAAAATAAATCTTAATGAAAAGATATTCTTAATTTCATTAACAAACATAGTTTAAGATTTATAATAAAACATGAAATTATAATATAGTTCTCTGTTTCTGGACTGCAAGTATATGTAGTATGGTGTGACAAGGGGGAGGTGAGGAAATAGTGAGATTCTTTGTCACAAAAAAGGAAGGTGGGTGTAAAAATATATTCCAAATAAAAAGTGGGAAACTATTCATAGACTACATTTCATACCAAAATATTTTCATGGAAATTTAAATTTCATAATTTTATATGTATACCAATTTTAATACATTCTTAGCAGAAAAATTCTTATATGGGTTTTTTTCCCCCGAAACTTTATCTTTCAAAGAAAACCATTTGTCTTTTAAAACACGAATTAAAAACTTAGTTAATGTTAAATTATTATAATAGCTGTTTCATTCTTATTTTTCAGGAGAATAATTTTATTTCAGTTTTTAAATTAAGTACTGTTAAATCTGTTACTCGATATTCTGTTATAATATTATATAACATATATAATATACTATCTACATATATAATATACGATGTTATAATGTTATAATTATTATAGCTGTTTCATTCTTATTTTTCAAGAGAGAAACTTTATTTCAGTTTTTAAACTAAGAACTGTTAAATCTGTTACTCGATATTCTATGTTACCTGTAAGCGTCATTTTTTAGCAGATCCTGCCGTATTTAAAGTAGTGCTTATGATTAAGAAAAAAAAATTAGAGCACTTGAGGAAAAATGTGTTTAACATTGAACAATAATACCGCTCAAATTTACTGCAACATTAATAAAATGTTAAATTGAACCATGTTTAAGTAACCATAGTATCACGCAGTCAATTATCTGGTTCATCATTATCTGGTTCAACTTGGTATTTTATTGAAGTTGCAGCAAATTTGAGCGATATTATTCAAAATGACTCAAAATTTTTATAGAGAAGGTATAAAACTTTTAAAGATAGTAAAAGTAAGTGGTACTGAGACAAAAATGTGTACTGAAGAGTGTCGCCCTCTTTTTAAAAATATGCTGATACTTCTTAAAAATTACTAAAATAAAACTTAAATTCTTTAATTGAATAAAAGCCTTTATTTGATTTATGAAACATTTTGATGATTGTATTTTGAATTAGCGCATATCTTTTATAGGCATTAATTAAAGTTGCACAAAATATGGAAAATAAAAGGAGAAACTCAAAAATTGAAAATACCTTACAATTAAAAAGAGAGTACAACAGTTTAAATAATAGATAAATTTTATTGACATCATATCCAGCAAATTGTTTTAGGTTTTAAATAAT